AACAAGAAGAAGTTATTATTTTGGGGCTTTTATGTTTTGTATGCTTATATTTCTAATCAAAAGTCTGGAAATTTAAAAAAAAAAGATAAAAAGACTTATAATATCTAAACAATCAAATAAGACAAAGTTCCAGGACTCTAGGCTCAAAGAGGCAGATAACCCAGTAAGCAGGGTAAGAAAAGGAAGAACTCATGCTAGCTAGCTAATCTGTAGCAAACAAGTTCAAATATTTTTCACCATATTAAAGATGTGATGCAACTTCATCCATCAGAGACTGTCAATTTGAAGAGACTTTGATTCTGTAGGAAGACGCCAAGCAGTTGGGAGAGACAGATCCCAGCCATATCTCAGAAGCAGAGATAGGTAGAAGCCGAGTCTTTGATGTGGTGAAAATATGTGAAATTGTTTACTACAAGTGAGTAAGTAAGCACAAGTAAGCCTGTGCTTACCATGCAGGTTGGACAGTTTTATCACAGGCTTCATTCTAGTCAATGAGACAAGGCAAAATGTCCTCATAACATCTTAAGCCAGGAATATGTTCTTTGAATTTACAGCTTCTTAAAATAGGAGTCAATGAGAGAGAGTGAGAGAGAGAGACAAACCCGCAAGTGTTTGCAAGTCAACTGGGGAAGGAAAGAAAAAATTTTCTTCTAACACTGCATTTCAAGTTCCTCATATTTACGCTCGTTTTAATAGGAGTGTTTAGAAACTTTCAACCAGAAGAGGTAGATTCTGTTCGAAATGAAATCATGAATGCTTAAATTGTTATCCTTTTGGCGAAACAATATTTTTAATCAAATGGAAGTATAACACAAACTGACTCTAAAGTTGGTCTGGTGTTCATTTTCTTATAATCTATAATCAGGAAATCCATTCACTCATGCTATATAATTTTTGTGCTTTTAAGTGGTCAGGGGAATGTGACATCTGCATGCAGTCACATCTAAATTGATAATTGTCCAGGCGGAGGGTAATTTTAAAACATAGCATGAAGAGAGGTTTAATCTGTATATTAGAAGGTTGTTGAGGGGTGGTGTTTCCCACCCCTGTCCCAGCCCCCTGAATTTAAATGAGACTGGTCCCGCTGGTGAATTTATCTTAAGGTGGGACAGCAGCCTCGGCCCAGGCCACAGCATTCTGAGGGAGGAGGCGGCGGCTGCGGTTTCAGAGCCGGTTTAAATGCAGGCTCTTCTTAGCAGTAAACCACACGCATGTATTCATCATTGATTTTCAAATGATAGGTTTCTATATCACTGGCTTGGGATCCACAGTCTTGCATTCCTGAATCTATATTATGCCAAAAGAATAACAATTTGGTGGCTGGAAACAGAAATGGTTATTATACGGCTCCAAAATGCTAGCTGGCACAATATGCTAAAAGCAGCAGAAATTCACCGGTAAAAAAGCAGAATTTATTTGTTCTTAAAAATATAACTTGATGCTCTAAAATATTAATTTAAGAGATGTCATCATGGTTCAAAATATTTTACATTCAATATGTAAACACCTTAAAATATGTGACTAATAATTCTAAAATGGGTTCATTTCTAAAGAGTAAGACATATTCCAAGAGAAAAGCAAAAAGCTTTTTAAATCCTTTCTTTTTTTTTAAGTTTTGGAGTGTATAGTGGATGGAACACATCGATGTGTATTTTTACTTTTTCTGTTTATTCTTTTAATTTTTATGTTGTTTCCTCAAATCCTTGTTTAGAAAGTGGGGAGAAAAATAAGCTTTGTTGAAATTTTTCAGAAAGTTTGTAGAAAAAAAATTTTTTGAACCCTTTTACAGAGTGTCTGTGAAGCATTTCCATATTTGCACACTCGCCGAGGGCTTGCCATATCATAGGACAACACATTTCGCAAAGCGGTTTTACTTCCTTTTAGCAAAATAACTCCTCCATGCAAACCAGTATCGGCATCTACTGAGCCGGGGTTTTAGTTTCTTCTGATCTATTCAAGCTTCATTGCACCGCTTAACTGACTTCTCTCCCTCCCCCTTTTGAAATTACCCAACTAATTTTCCATTTGATTGTTTATTTAAACCAGATCTCACACAGGCTTAATAGATAAGTGACATATGTATTCAGTATGTCAGTCTGAACTTCAGCTGACAAGAAAGTGGAGTGCAAATTTTGCCTCACTCCTTTTTCGTCTAATAAAAATCTATTAATTAAACTAAGGCCTTACCATAGTCAAAATAGGATTCAGTAAAACATGATAAATACAAAACTTACATGAGCACTCCATTTCATCAAGCATTTTTTCAAAGTGAGCATATTCTTCGGTTTTTTTTTCTCCTACTGAGAAAAAGTAAATATATTTGTTTCATGTAATAACTTTTGTTACAGAGAATGGTCCAAATTAGTGTTTTTTTAAAAAAAAAATTACTTTTGACACATCTTGCTAGCTTCAGAGACCTTAACTTTGTTCTTAATTTAATTTTCTCCGAGTTTTATTATAAAGGAGTAATTTATATTCAAGCTCTACAAAAACCCCTTAAGCATCAACTACTGTGGACAGGATGCCTAGGAGGTGTTTTTTTTTTTAGGATTTTTTTTCCCCTAGTAACTTGGAGAATTTTTTGCATAATCCAGCTGACAGATTTAATCTTGTAGTTATTTGTTATATATTCAGCCTGTTTATTCATGCATAAAATGAGACAGGTAAATGAATGGGGTATGAAGAATAAATGTGCCGTAGAAAGTGTGCCTCAAATATATCCGAATTCAAAAGATGTTCCCAAAAATATCTCCTAAAAATATAACCATATTTTACCTTCCCAGTTCTTCATATCCAGTCCCTCCGACCCGTACTTAGGTCCCTGTCTGCATTAACAGCCTGACCAGTACCAGGTCCCTGCCTACCTTAACAGTCACTCACTGCCATTCAGTCACTTCAGGCTCACAGTAGCTAAATCTTTGCAGGAAGAGATCTCTCATAGTTCTCTCACAGGGCAGCTGGTGGATTCGAATTGTCGACCTTTCAATTAGCAGACCAACACATAATGTACACCCTGCACTACCAGGACTCCTAGTCCACATGCCAAACCCAGAAAAATCAAACCTGTGGCTATTGAGTCGGTTCTGACTCATATCAGCCTCTGTCAGGTTTCCAAGGACACACCACACACACACACACACACACACACCCCCAACTTATAGGGGGAAAGTGCCAGTCTTTCTCTGGCGGAGCAGCTGGTGGATTTAAACCACTGAACTTCTGTTTAACAAGCTGCTACATCACGCACCAGTCCGCACTGCTTGGCTTTCTGATTCCTCCGTATAGTAAAAACCATTTCTTGACTTATGCTGTACCTATGTCCTGAAACCTTCATGACTCTATATTTAGCCTAAAATTCAGGGACTCTTCCACAGCCTGGCTTCCTTTCACCACCCCTCTTTTCTAGAATTCTCTTCTAGACAAATGCAAACTCAGGCCACCAACATAGAGTGAATTCCAACTAACTGTGCCCCTGTTTTGTACTGCTGAATTGAAATCAACTTACAGCTGAACTTCCAGTGGGTTGGTTTCCAGAGGCTACTAATCACAAGGGAAGAGCTTGCCCATCTTTCTTCCTCCAATAAGTTGGTGAATTTGAACTACACACCTCTGGGTTGGCAGCACAGCTTCCTACCACCAGACCCCCAGAGCTCCCTATAGCTATCCTATTTACAAACTGTGCTCCCTAAATTTCCATGTCAGCCCTTTCTTCCAAGACCTGCCCTTTCCCTACATCTGTATCAGATCATCTCTGGCCCCCTTTGAAGTCAAGAGCGCTCCTCCTGGGCTCTGGAGCACTCTGCAGGCCCTTCACCCTGGCTGTCTTATAGGAATCCAATCTTTTCACTCAGAGGAACTACAGAGCACTCCCTACGCCCGTGGCTCTGCAGCCTCCATAGTGTCTTTGGTCCAGAGGTAATAGATACTTGTGTTTTGTGATAATGATAATGATGATACTAACAATGAGGTTTAGCTGTCTCCTTCAGAGAGCCTCTGAAAACAAATGTCTGGTTTTCTAGAAAAAGTTGTAGAACCTGGTAGTTGATTTCTCCTGCCCTCCAATCAGGACCAGGGCAGGATGGCGGCCCCAGGAGTTGAGTCCACCCTTCTTCCAGCTCAGGTTGTGTTTCCAGTGGACTTACTCTGTGGTTCTTGTCATGAAGCAGTATATTTTGCAGTATGAGACACATAGGCCTTCGGATATCCATTTATTTCTGATAGTAGGAGGCTAAACATCAGAGGCCTTTCCAGCCTTCTCAATCGATGGCTATTCCTGTACCTGATGAGTCAGCACCTCCTTAAAGGCAGCATCCCTTGGTTTGAGCTGAGAAGGATCCTGCTTCTTGAAGTTCTGTGTGAAGAGGAGAGCAGAGCTTCAGGGTTACACACTGCGCTGAGCACAGAGGATGACCCTGACATCAGGAAAACCAGGGGGAGGGTTGGCCCGGAGAAAAGGGCCACTGAAGAGCCAGTGTGTATGCCGCATCCCCTCCCCTGCGTGCCCTAGAAATTACAGTCTTGCTGGTATGCCCTTTTTCATTTAAGGACACACAGACACACTAAATAAAACCCAAACCAATGAGCTGAAAGAGTGACTCACACCTACTAGACCTGGAATGAACAAGTTGATGAAAGTGCAGGAACAATTCTGTGCTTTTCTTAGACTCAGAGCAACTTTCTTCCGGTTTTATTTTGTTTTGCTCTTTTTTTTTTTTTAACCAGGAGAAAAAAGTACACAGTGACTTCTAATCATTTTGGTGAATATCAGTTGTCTCCTTTTTTAGAAGTTTTTAAATCTCCATTCTGAGGTATCCTAAATAATGAACTGTGTTGGTTACTCTTCACATAGAGGTTAAATTGGTCATTTATGACGTTTCAGTATATGTATGTTGTGTCTAACCTTGCTAAGCTTTTCTTTGTCATCCCATATAATGTATTCTCTGGAACCATAGGGGAGTTTAGATTTCGCCCTGAAAGTTTTCATTGTTTTGTTTGTACAGGGAATGGCTATGGCAATCCCCGAAACTCGCCAGGTCTGCTGGTCTCACCTGGCAACTTGAACAAGAATATGCAAGCAAAATCTCCCCCTCCCATGAATTTAGGGATGAACAACCGTAAACCAGATCTTCGAGTTCTTATTCCACCAGGCAGCAAGAATACGATGCCTTCAGTGGTAATACAAAACTGCATTTTGAATATTGATACTATTTCGTTTATGTTCTGTTGTTTCTTCATTAGACTTTGTGAATCACTGAGTTCTCCCAGAAAAGTAACGTTTCAATAGTATTGCTGGAGTCTTGCTTACATTTATTCCTAATGTCTGATAACTGGCTTGGGACTTCTTTTTCCATGTGGAAAATAGCCAAGAACCAGTAAACAAACTCCTGTATATGGCTGGTAGTCTGGGACCAAAAAAACATGCTTTTTAAAGACTTCCAATTTGTAATTTTAAGAAAAGTAACTGTGACTCTGCTCATGGGACATTTGACTTGACCAATCTTAGAATCAGAATCTTGAGCTTGGTATTACATGCCTGTGAGATTTTAATCATTTTAATGTAAAAAATATGAGTTTAGTTTTTTTTAAAAAATTACCTCAAAGTGCTAAAAATTAAATATGTTTTCCATAATTTCACATTGAACTTAGGTGATAGTGTTAATACATCCCATTTCTATGCATGGCCTAAGTTAATCTTTCTATATGTGTACTTTTTTACAGTACCTAGATTTCAAACACAAATTGCTTTTAAAATTCTAGGCATTTTAAGAACAGTGGTTATATTTTACTTTAAAGAGGAAAAAAAAGAATGAGTTCTTCTAAGATAAAATACAAATAAAAACATATATCAAGTGGCTCTCCGCAGTCGGCATGCCTAAGATTAAGATAATATTGTGAGACCAAATTCAACAACAAAGAGACTTACATCAATGTTCTCCAAATTAGCTTTGCTTAAGTGAGAGAATATTTAAAGCCCAAGATTCAGTAGACAAATTTAGATCATTCTGCAAATATATTTCTTTTTCTTTTTGTGCTCTGTGGCAAGCTTCAGGGTAAAACAGTCCTGCAAGCTGATTAGTTTATTATGGCACAGTGAAGATTAATTTTGAATATCAACCAAAAAAATCACATAATATGCAACGTTCCCTTTGGAAAAGACTAGGTCTAATAAATAAAACCTCCCACAGGGCTACAGCCAAGCAGTGTGGGCCATGGCAGGCTGCCTCTATCAGGAGATTTATTCCAGGTCCCTCAAAATTGATGCCTTCCCAGGGATTCTGTGAGAGGCCAGGTCTCAGCAGCCAGGTGCAGCTCCCCCTCCTCCAGCAAGTGGGGTTTCCAAGTACAATCTTATGTTCAAAATGTAGTGGTGAAATAATGAATGTGGAGCCACTGACCTGTGCTGAGAATCGGCTGGATTGTCTTCACCTTTGAGACAAACAGCTCATTAAGGGAAACAAAGAATGTCTTTGTAGAGAGTTATCTTTATAGTGTGGATTTTAAGAACTGTTTAAACTATTGGAACTATCAGAAGATGCTTTTCCTTTTGTTGAAAAGATACTGCCCTATTATAAATATTTACAGACATTAATTAATAACACTCCTTCCCCATGCTGTCAGTCTGAGGATGTGGACCTGCTTTTGGTAAGTGGTGAGGGCGGCTCCCTTAAATGGCAAGTGCCAAGAAAATCTAATGCTACTTTTTTAGTTGGAGGTGGTAGCTCTGGGAAAATTTTTTAAATTGTGGAGGTTACCAGAATATGTCAGTGTCACTAAATGTTTAAATATCATTACGTTCTCATGTAACTCACAGATGAATGTCAGGCTGTTTCTTTTGCGGGCTCAACCTCTGTGAGAGAAGGCCTCTCAGTATTTTAATTCCCTATTTTAGTACTTTTAAGTAAAATTCAGATCCAAAGTATTTTAATTTTTTAAACAATTCAAATTATTTCTAAAAAGTCTTAAGATATTTTTATTAATAATAGGTAAGTATTCTGTTATTTAATTTTCTGTGGATCTTGACTCTTCTTGCAGTAAGGAGTTAAATAGATGCTTGCCATCTAGTTTGAGGGAAGTTTAGGAGAATCTGAAAAAAGTGGTCAGAGCACCACCTGCTGGCCAGAACAGAGAATGAACCTCTACCCATCTGTGCTGTGCTGTATGTAGAACTGAACATAAAAACCACCGTGGTTGATTTTAATTTTTTTGATTTGCATTTGAATAAAAACTGAAACAATGGAAGTACAGTATACATATTTCATCAGTTTTCAACATAGTCTGTTTTTACCCATAATAAAGCTATGGTACTTGTTACTAGTTCAGTTGCCTAGGAGATACTGATGTAATGGGTTACTATGGCAACAGCTGGTCTCTTGAAAGATTGTAAATGATAGGGTTGGCAGAGTTCATAGAGACACATGTTAAATGATTAATTTTATGAGATTTATACCAAGTTATCTCTTTATGTGCAAAACTAATTCTGAAATAGAATATTTTAACTTTTTTAAAAAATCAATTAATAACACCTTTCTTAATTTACTTTAAAAGAATCAAAGGATAAATAACTCCCAGTCTGCTCAGTCATTGGCTACCCCAGTGGTTTCCGTAGCAACTCCTACTTTACCAGGACAAGGAATGGGAGGATATCCATCAGCCATTTCAACAACATATGGTACCGGTGAGTAGCTTCACCATGTGCAAAGTACGTTCAATATTTTTATTAAAAAGCAAGATAAAACATTACCCCTTAGTGTGTTGAGAACCTTTATTTAGTAACTGTGATGTCCAGAGCATGATACTATCACCCATCTTTTGTGAAGACAAAGTGTCTTTTCTTTCTTAAGTATCTAAAAGTTTTATTGACCCACCTAAGTTCAAAATAGAAGCACCAGTTAAAGGAAATTGAGCTGTTATTTCTTTGGTGTAACAGAAAGCTTACTTTCATGAGATATGTAAATAGTATTTCTTGATCATCAAATACAAATATATCTGTACTGCCAAGGGATAGTTCCAATAAACTAGAAATACAGGCTGTGCTACAAGGAAGCTGTCATGAAGTACTGTTGTTATAGTATATTCTTTCTACATTAACATTGTTCCGATGTTTTGTCCCCTTGCCCCCAAAAAGTGAAAAAAGGGGGAGTATGATAACAATCATAAGTAATAAAAATAGAATGTGTTAGGAGTAAAAAGAAAAGTTTCTTTTCCAAATAAGTGTCTTTTCCTTGTCCTTTAGAGTACTCTCTGAGTAGTGCAGACCTGTCATCTCTCTCTGGGTTTAACACCGCCAGCGCACTTCACCTTGGCTCAGTAACTGGCTGGCAACAGCAACACCTACATAACATGCCACCATCCGCCCTCAGTCAGTTGGGGTAAGCAGTATTACTTCTTTTATAATTTTATATAACAAATGGAATTTTTAAACAACAAATGGCAATCTTTGAATATGTGCTTTCGTGTCCATTTGAAACAAGAACCAAACAAACCCATGGCATCCAAGTCAGATCTGATTCATTGTGACCTATAAGACAGGGAAGAATTGCCCCAAAGAGATGGCAAGGCTGTGAATCCTTCTGGAAGCTGGCTGCCCCGTGTTTTTTTTTCTCCCACGTCACAGCTGGTGCGCTCAATCAAACCTTTCTGCTAGCAAATGAACACTTAATCACCACTATACTACCAGGGCTTCCTTAATAGCCCACAAAGAATGTAATATTGTTTTACTTTATCAAAATGTGGAAGTAACTATCAGATCAATACTTTCCAAAGAGCTTAAGTATCTTGTATGTAAGAGGTCAGAAATCTCTGTGAATATTGTACATTTTTATTGTTTTGGGCTATTTTAATTTCCCCTTCTCTCAGTAAAGGATAGAGTTTTTATTTGGTTTAATTTTCATATAGTTCTTTTGGGGAACAAGAGGTATTTATAACTACAAGTTTTTTTAAGATATTTGACAATCTTCACTTAGCATAAACTAGTAAAGACTGAAGTTAATTGAATACTCATAAGGAAAGCTATTTAGTCAGTATTTAGGTTTCAGATACTTATAATAAATAAGATGCATATTGTATTTGTGATTGATACATACATACACTAATTACCAAATTTGGATATTAATTTTTTGTTTGTTGGTCAGAGGATATGAGTTTCTGCCCCCTTGTGGTAGTTTTGAGACATGGTCTTATCGTAGAAATGACTTCGCATTTGTTAATGGAAATATTAAAACCTTCAAAAGCCCTGAATTGACAAGTTACATCACTTCTTGCAAATCAAAAAAAGTCTAAAAAAGGGGGGGAAAGTTTAAAAAATTAACTTGAACTTTAACTTAAATTTAACTAATGATCAGAAAACTTTAATTATCTACCAGAAGAGAATAGTCTAGACCCCTAGTTCTCCATTCATATATGCAAGGAGAAAATGAGAATAAAATATTAGAATGAAAAACACTGACTGATATTACAAAAGCATTTCTCTTCACTCTCCCCACAAGCACACACCCACCCCCAGATAGCTTTTGTGTGGTGTTGATTTAACGTAGATTAGTGGTCTGATTATGGAATCTTCCGTCCTTCACAGTTTGCTAACGCACAGCCCACTCACTCATCACTGTCATTGAAGATTCAACCTCTCATGTAAATAATAAAATAAATGCAACATGACATCATTGCCCTACTTTTTTTGGAAGATAATTAACTTTGATGATACAAAGAAAATTGATCAACAGCAGTTTCTCCTTTTGGGACATTCTCATTTTCTTAGGAATTTTGGCTATCCAAGCAGATATTCATTATAATCACAGCTATTCTAAGGAACTAGCACTAAGTAGATAGCACAATCTAGGCAATTCTTAAATATACACGTGGAGCTTTAAAGTGCTGTGATGCAGCCCTGCATCTATATACATGCTTCTGGTCAAAAATAAAAGTAACATTTTACTTGTCTTTTCTCATTTTTCTCAAAATCCATCCTTTATAGAACCTCCTTAGAAATTGCCAGTGATTTCTAAAAAGCCATATCATTTTCTTTGAATCTGGCTTTCTATTGTTTTTTATAACTAATCAATTGCAGTTTTACATACATGCTTACACTTATTTACATATTTTAACTATACCAAACTTTTAAAACTCTCACCTATAGGAAAAAGCTAATTCTCTGTTGCTCCTAAAAGGGGCATTTTAAACGAGACGACCCTGCACTAGAACTAAAAATTAAATTGCTACTGAGTCAGAACCAACTCATAGCTCACCCTCTGGTGGGTTTCCAAAGGTTGTAAAACACACAGGCAGAGATTTTCCAGCTTTCTTCTGTGGAGCAACTAGTGGATTTGAACCACCCATCTTTGGGTTGGCAGCCCAACTCCCTACCCACTTGGTCAAGAGGGCTTCTTCCCTGTACTAGGGGAACTGAATTACAACAGCAAAGGATATATGTTGTTTAACACTTGATTTCTTTAAACGTTGATTTTCATAATGTATAATTTGACTCTAATTTTAGTCTGTGAGTTTTGATTGTACTTAGTCACTTTATCAATAAAATGGACAACTTCCAATTTGGCCCTTTCATTGCCTCTCTCTCCCTCTCTCTCTCTCTCATGCATGGGGGTGGGCCGGGGAGAGAGAGTGTTAGTTTTTAGAAAAAGATTTCTTCATTGGACAACTAATGCTCATACAGTAAAATGCTAAGCTGTGGGGAGAAAGTCTCCAAAATATAACATTTATGTAAAATAAATCCTGTGTTGTAGTCTCTAAATTATAACATTCATGTAAAATAAATTCTGCAGATAATGTAAATTAATGAAAAGAACTGAAAAGTTTTCAAAGCCCAAGTATTCATATATATGTGGATTGAGATTTCCCATTCTTTTGGAAAAATATGATGTTCAAGGTCAAAAGCAGGGCATATTTCCCCTCCAGCAGACATGCATTCCCTACTCCTCAAAGAGGTTTACGACACTTCTTTCTCATAATAAAATAGTGTAGTAAAGCTTTTGGTGCTTTGGCAATTCCTTTAAGACTTCAAAGTTACACTAAAATACTCTGATTTCATCTAACCAAGTTTGAGTGTGATTCCCTTGTGTGGAACTATGTTAAGCCCAGTAATGTAAACTGGTTTTTAATAGAGAGAGCAGAGGTGTCTTAACAGAAGGCACTTGCCAAGAATATTTGAGAAGATGGCCCCCAAGGTTTAGGTGGAGTTTTTTCTGTCACCTAAACAAAAAGGCACTCTGTTTTCTGAAAGCATTTTCAGGCCTTGAGTTGGGTGTGGATGTTCATGCATACTGAGAGAAACAACTTGGACTAGATAGAGATGCTTCTTAAAAGGCTGTTAAATGTCATCTGGTGGTCTCATCTCTAGACAAAGGTAGTAAGAAATTTGAGTAAACTGTCACCCTTTGGGTTCCACACAGTATTGAGGAAGAAAACTTAGTCTTCCCAGTTGTAAAGTAGATCTCTGTGTAGAGGAAAACTTGCACAGATGACTGTGCCTAGCCACTTACGGTTCCACTCACCTTTGTATAACACACAAACATGAATTATTTAATAATAATCTGTTATTGTTGTTGTTGTTTACCACCAATTCGGCAACAACCCATAGCTGACCATCCCAACAGGTTTTCAGAAACTATAAGTTACACAGGAGGAGATTACCAATGCTTCTCCTTCAGAGCAGCTAGTGGTTTCAAACCTTATACCTTTGAGTTGGCAGTGCAACTCCTCGCCACTAAGTCACCAGACTTCTGTCATAATAATCTAGGTTTTTTAAACATTTTGGTTTTAGAAAAAATAGACCCACATATTAATAATTGTTTCTAGCATATATAGAACAAAGTGATTTTTAATGCCATTTTCTTTTCAAGATAATATTTCTTTGATAACAGAGACTAGTCCTGTAAATACCCATTCTGTGTCTTATACCTTACCATATCCAGTATAATGAAGCTAAGCTGTGATATCACTTACATTTCCTTATTAGGGACTACTCAAAATATCTTATATATACTTTCTGTGTCAAATTAAAAAGATCAGTGAAAAATAATCTTAGAGAAGAACCTGTTTATTTCTAGAAAAAGTTAGCCAATAATTATTGAACCATTTTAGAGAATAGATGCAGCTAAACCTATGTAAGCCAACTGAAAGTGAGTCAAACCTAGAAAATTCAGCTTCTCAATGCTTTAGTAGAGAAATACGATTTTTACTATATTAATTTTTTTTTTTGCCTAATTTATCCAGATCAACTGTCTATGCTGGTCTGGCTCACCAAATTTTTTTTTCTAATTTTCCATGTCACCACAACTGTGATGACACAATCTAAATGTCAAAGGACAGACAAAAGCATTTATTTATATGCTACTTTATTTTCAGAATCCTAATTGACATTCATTATTAAACAGTTATGTGATTCATGATAGAGGCATTTAATTAAATCTTAGTGAAATAGTCTTTCTTACCCAGAGCCAGGAAAATTCTTTCTTCCAGAAATCAAAAGATGATTTCTTCTGACATCAAAATGAATCATTAAATAACTCTGAACTAAGATAAAATAGCCTACCATTATGGGTCCTTTAGAAATACAGATCTCTCCCTCCATTTTAATGTCTTCTTGACTTAAAGATAATTTAATTAAAACTCTGAGAAAATAGTATCCTAATGTAGACTATAGAATAATGAACTGCAAATCATTAGCTCCAAGAATAAATAGGTGGTTGAAAGTTATATGCACTCAATGTAACATCTTGATTTAAATGCCAAGATTGGTTTGTTTCTATAAGATCATAAAAAAATAGAAAAGAAAGGCTTATTAGGGCAACAAATAATTTCCCTTTATATTATGCTCTACATTTGCTTATCTATTAATAAGGGAAAGAAAGTAAGTATTTGCCAGTAGGTGGTGCTTTTGTATAAAACATCACTCAAAGATAAACTCATTTCTGACTCATTTTATATCACTATACATCGTTGGAGTTTATTGCATTTGAAAAAAGGAGGAAAAAAAGCTCCATGTTACTCCACCTTTTCCTCTGAAAAAGTTTCATTCCCTGCTCATAGTGACTTTTTTTTTTTAGGTAAAATAGTAAAAATAGATTTTTTTTTAGAAAGGTACATCACCAAAGGGTCAGACCTCCCTCCTTGGAAGACAATCTGAAGGAGAGGGATGCATAGTGACTTAATGCCATCACCTTCTATCCATTGGAAAATAGCCCATTTACAAATTTGAAGCGAGCCTGCTTCTCGTCACTTAAAACAGTTCTGTCAGTCTGGATAGCCTTTTATCACTCTGGATAGACTCCCCCTTAGGAAAAGAGGTTTCTGTACCCTTCTGACAATATAGTCAGATAATACTCACCCTCGTGGGGCTATCAGTGCAATCAGGATGCAAAAAACAGTAACACTGATGTGGCATGGGTTACTCCAGTGTATCCTGCTCAAAGTCATTGTGATTGATTACTGTCCACACTTTAGGGCTTCAGGCTTTCTCCTCCAGAATTTCTGATATCAAAATTCTCCCACACTTTGGCAGAAGGGAAGATTAAACTCTCCAGCAGTAGATGAGGGCCACGTACTGTAAACACAGGGAAATTACTGAAGGATCTCCTTTACAACATCTTTTTCTTAGATAACAACAGATTCATCAATTAAAGCCAATTAAAAAATCAGAAGAGGTGTGTCCTAAGGCCACAGAGGGAGAGAAATTTGGCATAGTTGTAAAACTGACAGAATTCTTATCCCACAAAGGGTGAGGAGAGTCACATATGGGTGTTCAAGTGTCTGTTTTTAAACCACTTTTGGACATTTATGCAGGTAATTGTCAGAGGCCTTACCTCCTCCCCAACGGTCCTCTATCCCAGGTTTCTCATGTGACATTTTATGGTTCTGTTCCTTGGACGTTCAAAGTTTCTTTACTTTCTATGAGGAATATGTAACTTAATTTTTTTTTATCATACGGATTCGCTTGAGAACAAGATTTTTGTCTGTAATAAACTTTTAAAAATAATTTCCAAGTAGGGGTTTTAGTTTAAAAAAAAAAGAACAAACAAAAACAAAAAGCCTAATTTAAAAGGTGAACACTGCATGTAAAGCCATCAAATTTAGAAGTCAGCATCGAGAGAAATTCCGTAGACCCAGAGGATGATTTCACTCTCTTGTCATGCCACATGAAGTTATGTTTGGGAGCCCTTTGGAGGCTGGAATATGAGCTATGAGTCAGGAAGCCTGGATATGTTAAACACTGTAATTACCACCGGCCTAATCAACAAAGGCAGCCTAGATCATTTTTAAGAAGGCAGTGCCCTCAGAGTCCCAGCACCCCCTCCTCCATCTGGGCATGCTCTGGTGTCTATGCGAGTCTTTAAGCTGATGTTTTATGTAATTGTGAGTTCCTGGGGGCTCCAGGCCTCCTCCATCTGTAACTGGGTTTCCTTTCCTCCTACAGAGCTTGCACTAGCACTCATTTATCTCAGAGTTCAAATCTCTCCCTGCCTTCTACTCAAAGCCTCAACATCAAGTCAGAACCTGTTTCTCCTCCTAGAGACCGTACCACCACCCCTTCGAGATACCCACAACACACGCGCCACGAGGCGGGGAGATCTCCTGTTGACAGCTTGAGCAGCTGTAGCAGTTCGTACGACGGGAGCGACCGAGAGGATCATCGGAACGAATTCCACTCCCCTATTGGACTCACCAGACCTTCGCCGGACGAAAGGGAAAGTCCCTCAGTCAAGCGCATGCGACTTTCTGAAGGATGGGCGACATGATCAGATTATTTACTTAATAGTTTTTTTGTTTTTTTTCTTGCAGTGTGTGTGTGTGCTATACCTTAATGGGGAAGGGGGGTCGATATGCATTATATGTGCCGTGTGTGGAAAAAAAAAAAAAGTCAGGTACTCTGTTTTGTAAAAGTACTTTTAAATTGCCTCAGTGATACAGTATAAAGATAAACAGAAATGCTGAGATAAGCTTAGCACTTGAGTTGTACAACAGAACACTTGTACAAATTAGATTTTAAGGCTAACTTCTTTTCACTGTTGTGCTCCTTTGCAAAATGTATGTTACAATAGATAGTGTCATGTTGCAGGTTCAACGTTATTTACATGTAAATAGACAAAAGGAAACATTTGCCAAAAGCGGCAGATCTTTACTGAAAGAGAGAGCAGCTGTTATGCAACATATAGAAAAATGTATAGATGTTTTGGACAGACCCGGCAATGGGTGGCCATTGGTAAATAAATGTTAGGAACAGGCCAGGTCACCTCATGTCCCACGAACCCCGAGAATGCTCACAAACTGCAGGCTTATCATTGGCGTATGGCACTCATTAAAAAGGATTAAAGACCATTAAAAGAGGACCATACCTATTTTTAAAAAAATGTGGAGTTTGAGGGCCAACGTATTTAATTAAATAAATAAATAAATAAATCTGGGTCTGCATCTCTTATTAAATAAAAATATAAAAATATGTACATTACATTTTGCTTATTTTCATATAAAAGGTAAGACAGAGTTTGCAAAGCATTTGTGGCTTTTTGTAGTTTACTTAAGCCAAAATGTGTTTTTTTTTCCCCCCCTCTCCTTGATAGCTTCGCTAATATTTTAAACAGTCCTGGGAAAAAACCAAAAAGGACTTTTTGTATAGAAAGCACTACCCTAAGCCATGAAGAACTCCATGCTTTGCTAACCAAGATAACTGTTTTCTCTTTGTAGAAGTTTTGTTTTTGAAATGTGTATTTCTAATTATATAAAATATTAAGAATCTTTTAAAAAAATCTGTGAAATTAACATGCTTGTGTATAGCTTTCTAATATATATAATATTATGGTAATAGCAGAAGTTTTGTTATCTTAATAGTGGGAAGGGGTATATTTGTGCAGTTGCACATTTGAGTAACTCTTTTCTTTCTGTTTTCTTTTACTCTGCATACATTTTATAAGTTCAAGGTCAGCTGTTAAAAGGATAACCTGTGGGGTTCAAACATATCACATTGCAACACCCTAAATTGCTTTTAGTACATTAGCAATCTATTGGGTCACCTGACATCCATTGTATATACTGATTGATTTCTTTCATGCTTATTTTTTGTTTTCTTTTTGTTTTGTTTTGCATTTTTTACCAAATCCAGGGCCCCTTTCTGATCTCATCATTTCACCATGCCTCTTGGAATTCAGTAAGTGCATATCACAACTTGCCCATTTCCTTAGCCATCGGGTTGATTTTCAGCCTAGAATTTGCTATGATATTTTTAGAGATATGCCCAGAATAAAGCAGCTCTGTTGTGGCACATATCCTGCAAATATTGCCCTAGAGTTAAGTGATGCGGCATTTACTTGGTGAATAAGTTCTAAATTCCCACAGAAGAAAAATGTGAAAGACTGGGTGCTAGACCAGAAGGAAGCAGGTAAAGGAATGATTGCTTCGTCATCCATTACCAGTTCTTTTAACTGGCCCTCAACTATCTTGTCAGCAATATAGGACTGTTGAGCAATCCCGATGTGTCAGGACCCCCAAATGTCACTTCTGCATAAAGCATGTATGTCATCTATTATTTTTCTTCAATAAAGAGATTTAATAGCCATTTCAAAAAAATCCCATTGAAGAACCTTTCAATGTCACTTTTTTAATTTTCTTCCAAGGCAGTACTATAACTCTTGTCTAATATTCATCAGTAAGGACTAATTTTCAGACCCTTTGAAAAGTGAGTGCCATTGAAAACAGATGATGCATAATGTTAAAAAAAAACAAAAAGATGTTTCCGTCTAGGAATAATTTTTCTTCTCTTGGAATGTGAAGATCTGTCGATTCATCTCCAATCATGTGCATTGACACAACAAAGAAGATAGAGGCAGTCAAATCAGCACTGTTTAATCAGTTTAGGATATTCCTTATCCATTTTTTTCTTTCACTTGCATAGTTGCTATGTGTTTTCTCATTGTAAAAGGCTGCCGCTGGGTGGCAGAAGCCAATAGATCTTATTAACGAGGCTATATTTTTCTTAACTTGGTCTGAAATCCACAATTAGACCACAATGCACCTTTGGTTGTATCCATATAGGATGCTAGCCTGCCTTGTACTAATGTTTTGTATACTAAAAAGAAAAAAAAAACCCAACTATCAACCATTTCATATATCCCACTACTCAAGGTATCCATGGAACATGAAAGAAGAATATTTATGCAGAGGAAAAACAGAAGATCATCCCTGAACACGTACACATACATTTATTCACATGCACACAGGGGGTGGGGGGAGCTAAGAAAATCATTTTCCTCACCATAACCTTGATCCCATCTTTATAACCCATCCATATAACTTGATGTATATAAAATATGCAAACATGTCACAAATGTTCTTTGTCATTGCAAAACACTTTCGTTTATCAATATCAGTAGAAATTTACCAGTGGGTGGGGTAGGGTCATTATATAAAAATATGAAGAAATAGCCATATTAATTTTTTTACCTGCAATTTGCCTCAGCAACCAAGAAAAAAGTGAATTTTTAACTCGGGAGATAAAGTAAGCTAGTGTGCCAGCCGAAGCCTTGGCTATTTATAGCAGATCTGACAATAGTTTTGTGGTTGTTTTTTTTTTAAGAACACGAAAAGAACAGAATCACTTAAAAATGGATGCCAGTCATCTCTGGTTCCCACTGCCGAGTTCCTATAAAGTGGTGGCAAGAAAGCGAATGGATAATCTGAGAATATTTTTTTTTTTAAGATTTCATGAAAAGAAGCACAATTTGGATTGTGATGAGTCATTTTATCTAAGCAATCTTTACCACTTACACTTTACCATAATTTACCATTTATTGAACTTGCCAAGCTAGGATGGATTTGGGAGTTTCACTGTCTGTCCATCATAGTCAGGAGTTTAGGGCAGAGCCCTGAGGGAATGTTATTTTACAAACCCAACTAACCTTTTTTTTTTTTAGCAACATTCTCATTGCAAGTTAAAAACTTTAAGTGGCAGTTTACATAACTACCAGTGTCATTTTATCTAATCCTGTTTTAAAAGATTTTTGGTGACAATGTTAAACTTAGAGAAACTGGTACAATATACACAAGCTGTGCACTCGTATATTGTACCCATCAGTGCGTGGAGGCTGTTCATTTCACCCTTTTTTAAAAATTGTGTTTTTTAGTATGAAAATGGTTTATTTTTTCCCAAAGGTGAAATTTAACATTTTGTAATGATGAATATGAAAAAAATACCTGTCATGTTCAGATCGTGTAAGGTTAAGTAAAATGTGAGAATTTTTTAAAAAGTGAAGATTTTTTTTAAGTCCAATACGATTTTTGAAAACATATCTGCCCTCTCATACCTTAATGTATTTGTTTTCCTTAAATGGCCATCTTTTAACGTAGAGATAACCTTTTTTTTTCTGTTTTTATCCTTTTGTTTGGGTTTTTGGTTGGTTTTTTTGTTTTGTTTTTGTTTTTGTTTTGTTTTGTTTTTCAGAAAGTAAATACTTTGTATTTCTTTACCAAAAAAATTTTTATTTTTTTTTTTTTTTTAAGAAGAAGCCACTTGAACCCTCAATAAAGGCTGTTGCCTTCGCACGGCATACTTCATCTGTTCCTGTTTGTGCCATCTGCTGTGATGTCGTCACTTTGTGGCGTTAATTTCCTGCCACTACAGATCTTTTGAAGATTGATGGAATACTGGTGTCTTTTAGAATGCTTCAGAGTACAGATGTAATTAAAGGCTTTTCTTAATATGTTTTAACCAAAGATGTGGAGCAATCCAAGCCACATATCTTCTACATTCAATTTGTCCATTTTGGTTCTTTTGATAATTGAGTATTGCATTTTGCCTTCCCCGTTCATACCTCAAATTAATTCATACCTCAGTTTAATTCAGAGAGGTCAGCTTCGCAATGCATTCTGTTGTGGTGTGGATACAGTACCCGTGTTGTCCTGAAGTAACATAGACCTGGGTCACTGGAGGCATAGGACTTGGATTGCTTCAGATGGTTTGCTGTATCATTTTTCTTTTCTTTTTTTTTTCTGGGGACTTGTTTCCATTAAATGACAGTAATTAAAACAGCTTGTAAATGAGGGCATACAAGCATTTGCAACAAATATTCAAATAGAGGCTCACAGCGGCATAAGCTGGACTTTGTCGCCACTAGATGACAAGATGTTATAACTAAGTTAAATCACATCTGTGTATCTCAAGGGACTTAATTCAGCTGTCTGTAGTGAATAAAAGTGGGGAATTTTCAAAAGTTTCTCCTGCTGGAAATAAGGTATAATTTGTATTTTGCAGACAATTCAGTAAAGTTACTGGCTTTCTTAGTGATGCAGTGTCCGTCGTGCATTTTTTTAAATTAATGTTTTTATTACATTTACTCCACTTTACCTTATTTTTAAAAAACAACTTCTACTCCGAGGGCCAACGAGCTTTCTCAGTTTTGAATATGCAGTCCTGTTTTTTACAAGATAGTCGTGTGTTGGGTGATAACATGGATTCTGACTTTTGAGGTGTGGTATGATAGAGTTCAAGGGTTACAGGGGGTGACTTAACTTCATTATCAAAGCAGTTACTTGGAGATATTTGATAAATTGATTAATCCACAGAACTTCACAAAAGTCAGTGGGAAAAGTACTGTCATGAGATGGTAACAGTTGTTTCTTAAAACTGAAGAAAATTGTTTCCTGATATCTTTTTTTAGCTTGAAAAATGTAGACTTCTGACTCTTCATGCCTAAGTTCATGAGTTAGTATAATTTTAGAAACTAAAATATATAAAGGAAAGCGCTAGTGGTCTGATTGCTAGCAATTTGCTCTGCCAACCCAAAGGTGGGTAGTTCGAATCCACCAGCTGCTCTGCTGGAGAAAGAGAGACATTCTCTCCCTGTGAGATTTACAGCCTCGAACAACCCACTGAAGGATCTGCTCTGAGAAGCGTGTGCTGGCTTATCAGTAGTTCCTGTCCTGAAGGAAAGGAGTGCACTTTGAGGGGGAACTGCATGTGACTTCAAGACAGCAAGACTTCCCCCCCCCCTTTGTTCTTACTTTATTTTTTCTTTTATTTTCAGCAAGCACTTACTAAGCAACTCTTATATGCAGTTCATGTGGTGAAATCCAGGGTGAATGAAAATGTAACCTTGACCTTTACGCAATGTAAACTGATTGTGGCGGTGGTGGCAGTGGTGGCTGTTACTTGTCCCCAGGTTGGTTCCCACTCCTGGTGATTCATGTGCACATTAGCACTGATTCATAAAGCTTCAAACTGTGACCTTTCAGAAGCCGATTGCAAGTACTTTCTTCAAAGGTACATCTTGGTAGGTTCACATTAAATTTTCAGCTAATGAGACCATTAACATTTTCTGCTACTTGGAGAATCTTTATAAACTACTCTTAACCTCTCATTGACATCAAATCAGAATCAACTCAGATCTAGATTTCAACCTTCTGGTGGGTTTTCAGAAATTGTAAATTGTTTGAGAGGAGGTTGCCCATCTTTCTCTGTAGAGCCAGTAGTGGATTCAAACCACCAGAGATGTGCAGCCTTTGGGTTAACGGTGCAACTCTCTGTGGACTATGCCACCAGAACCCTCTTGTAAACAAGTTGTTGTGTGCTGTTGTGTCGATGGCGACTCATAGCGACCCTGTGTAATAGCTCTGAATCCTACCCTATGTTGAGCCACTCTCGCCCTTTCTGACATACCTAACTCCATTATCTCAGTTACTATGCCAATCCATCTCATCCTGGGTCTTCCTCCTTTGTGCTGTCCCTCCACTCTTCAAGTGTGATGTCCTCCTTCGAGTACTGGTGCCTCCTGGAGATAAAACATTTCAAAGATATTCTCAAACAAGTTGCACCGAGTGCTAGAGCGAGCCATGCTTGCCCACTGTGAGCAGAGACGCAAGAGTGTGACATTTCAGGTCTACCCAGCAGGGAAATGTTGACTTGTGTTTACAGAGCATCCAGGCTGCATGAGATGAAAGCTGGCCACAGACCTGCAACCTCTTTGTTACTCATGGTCATGCACTTGCTTCAATGCTCTGCTGTAACCCTCTAAAAATTCCTAATAGCTTGACCTTTCAATGGGAGAGTCATGTAAGTGAAATCCAATGGTACAATGAAATACGCATTTCAGCAGGGAGGATACACAAAAAGGGGTGGAGGGATGCGGTCCAGTACACTTCGTGGTACTTTTCCCCTCACTTTATGAACAAAGTTTCATATTTCTGTTTTCCACTGTTGCATACAGATGATGATGTCTGCCATGCATGAAGATCTTTACAAGACACAAAGAGTGGGACAAGGGCACCAAAATGGGATGGCAAAAGTGTGCAGGACTAGTGGAACATTACACTAAACATAGAACAATTTGTAGAGGAGCAGTGAGAAAAAATTGAAAGAGTTGTCTGGGATCTGAAGATCTCCTTCCAAGTTAAGAAATCTGCGAGTTCAGCCATGTATTAAAAGATGGGTGGCCCAGAGTAGAGATGGAATTATTGGAATTCAGCAGATTATTATGTTATATATAGGTGTAATCATATATAAAAGCAGTTGTGCAAATGGTTAAACATGGGCCACCTTTTCAGGAAAAGAAGTAAGAAACGAAAGATTTCCCCAAAGTCGTAGCAGTAAAAAAGATTTAGTTGGTATTGATAACTCCATCAGGCTTGGGGGCAGACGAGTCCCTGACTACTGCAGTTAGCACATTTAACTGCTAACTGAAAGACTGGGAATTCAAGGTCACCCCAAGGCACTGTGGCTGAAAGATCTGGAGATTGTAAAAAGTTGTTTTTGTGTGCAGTCGAGTCACCTGTGACTTATAGTGACTCTCTGTACAGCATCTCTATAACCTGCCCTGTCCTGAGCCAGTCTCACTGCGACACACCTACTACCATTGCCCCAGCTACTGTACCAAGCCATCTCATCCAGGGTCTTCCTCTCCTACACTGTCCCTCCACCCTTCCAAGCATGACGTCCTTCTCCAAGGACTGGTCCCTCCTGGCCACCTACCCAAAATATGTGAGACAGAGCTTCAAAATCCTAGCCTCCAAGGAAAAACTCCAAAACAGACCTATTTGTTTTCTTAGTAGTCAATGGTATTTTCAAGACTCTTCCTC